CTGTCCCTATCTCTGAAATCCATCCATTTCCTCTTCCAAGTCTTTTCCAGTGAGTGTCATCATGTAGTAGTTTTTTCTTAGCCTCATCTTATCCATTACTTTTTCAATTGAGAGGACTACACCAGCCAGCCCATCTTTGGCCTTTAGCTCAGCATTGCGCCCAGAAGGGTTGGTGTAGCTGCTGGGGGTGGCAGCCACAGGCGGGAGGAGGCAGGGGACTGGATGACTCTGCACTGTCCGCTGGTGGAGAGTACCACACCCACTCGGAGTGCGAAGAGTGTGCTGTACTTGAAGCAAAGCAGTCACTCACCAATGGTCACGGATGGAGTTGTTTGCCAAAGAAACATCTGGCCTTTCCCTTCCCCTGACCGCATCAGGGAAGAAACTTATCTCCAGCTTGGTTTCCACCTGGGTTTTCTTGTTGGTGTGTTTTTTGTTTTTAGGAAAGGGCCTGGGACAAGAAATTTGTCATGTAGTTAAATAGGCAAATCTTATTAATCTAGTTTTGTTTGAGAGTTGCTTGTCCATATGATTTTTTTAAAGTCAAGTTTAGTTTTACAAAAACTTTTTCTGAAATTACTTTTGGGGTATTATTTAAAATGAGAGATGTTTTGTAACCCTGTAAAATACATAGGGAATATAACATTCCAGTGTACACAGAAAAGGCAAATTCTTTAATCAAATAAATAGTATTATAAAATGAATTTGTTAGACTCTTATGCTTTGGTGTCTGCTTGTGGATTCAGGATAATGTAATGGGATCTAAGATTAAAAATTAATGATGTATATATTTTTTAAGAGGAATACTCTCCGAGAGTATTAATTGCCTTTTAATTTATTGTTGAAAGTATTACAGATGTCCCCTCCCCCCATTAACCCTCTCCACCTTGCACCCGCATCTCCTGCACTTGAGTTGCTTTTGAATGAATCTGATACTACTCATGGACTTTTGGTCTTAATTCTTTCGGCAGTTGTAGAATAAGGAAACTGAGGCTTCATCTGTAAAGATAAAGGTTCGGGATATGTGAAGCCTTCCCCTCCCCAGTAGACTGGTAAGAAGTAGCAGGGGTGAGAGGTGAACACCTTGGGCGATGTTGATAATTCCCTCTGAAGAAGCTTCACTTATTTAACTTAAAAATGAACATCAGTACATTGGGAGGCAAATTATTCTAATGAACAGTAAGTGGAATGAAAAAGGTTTTATCTTAATGGTGAAAGCTAAGATTCTGAATTCTTTCCCCTTACAAAGTATCTGCCCCTCCACCCCTCTTCGGTCGGGCGGGGAGGGCGGGGCGCCCTCGGCGGCCCAGACCCTCGAGGACCCCTCCCGCTCAGTCTCCCCCCTCCTGCCCCTCCTCCCGCGCTCCTGCTCCCGTATTCCTATTGGGCAAACCACTTTGTAACCAAAGTATCTGGTCTAATGTTGCTGAAATGTGGCTTGGCTCTGAGATTGTAACTTTAACCCAATGAAACGAAGCATACCAAAACCATGCCATACCCTGCCTGGCAGTTAGTCCCTCCATGGCATAAGCGCACTTTTTGGCCTCTTGTGAGGGAGACTGGCACAATAATTAGGTCTGACTGAGCATGATGTTTAATGGAGGAGGCTTGTGGTTCCCCCTCTGGTTTAATTCCACAAGGAGGAGGTAAGGGGCACACTTCCATTGTGGTCAGGAGTTTTCTTTTTAAATAGATCTGTTACTCAGTTACTCACAGTAGTTTCAAACCCTAAATCTATTGGCTTGTGCATCTCATGGGAAACTTAGTCCTCCATTAATTTGAAATTGTTCATGGGGTATGATCTGAGAGATTTCCAGGGTTGAGATAGAATAGCCTTTCTTAAAAGTTCACCTTTTGCAGGCCTCATTGGAGGAAGACAGGAGAAAATACAAAAAGTCCCCACCCAAAAGGTAATTACAGACATTGTTTCTAGTTAGAATATAATAAATTCCAACTAGGAGCAATGTCTGTAATTACCTACACAGACTTTTTTCCTAAGGTAGACAAGTGTTAACGATAACTAGTGATAACTCCACATGGGTCTCAGGGCCGCTGAGGAATAGGGCTTGTCTTAGAGGCTGTAGAAGAAAGCAAACATTCGGAATCCACTCCCTCTAGTCTGCACCTCTTTCACTGCAACCCTTTCCCCTGCTCGCTTTGGGGAATATATTTGCAGCTGTAGAGCTTTCAATCTGGCAGGTCCACAAGGAGGCCGCTTGCTGTGCATTGCTCTCACCCAAGTGCAGACAGCATCTCTACAAGTGTCAGTTTCATTTACCCTGGGGAGTTAATGATGTGGAGGCAAGCCTTTAGGGAAAAGACTACCTTTTTAAAAAATTTATTTATTATTATTATTATTATTTTAGCAAGATAGTTTGTTGTTCCACTTATTCATTCACCAGAGGCCCAGCAGTCGTGTGAGGAGGCGCCCCACCTCCCACCTTGCTGGCCAGGACCCTAGCCTGCTGTTTGGTCGTCTGTCTGGTCATTTAGGTCATGACAGCCCCTGGCTTTTTATATATTAGGATTGGACATTGCTCCAACTAACTGATCCACCGGCCAGGGGAAGACTCCATTTCTAAAGGAAGCTGTTGCCCCTCAAACACAAGAGATAAGCAACCAGACAGTTTTTAGACTCTTGGGTTACTTCTACTACCCCCACCTAAAAGGAAATTTTTGGCCTTGCTTTTCCTACACAGGGGCTACATGGTTATTGAGGGCTTAGTCCGTTCTGGAAAGCTATAGGTGCAGTGGAATAAGGCTGATTACCAAAGAGGGGCTGTTTGAAAAAGGCATTACCAATTCCAGACAATGAGAGAAATGGAAATAGCTCTTGTTCCCCATTCTTTTGCCCAAATGAATGCTTGTTAGGAAGGTCCTAACTTACAGGAGCCACGGAGGTAGGCAAGACCAGTTTCTGTCCGACCCAAATTTCCCACCCTGCTTGGATGTAGCTTTAGGTGGCAGTGGGCTGTGTAATTCCGAGGACAAGCTGAGTAGAGAGCTCCTTGCAGCTGCTGAAAAGGTTTGACTTTTCCCCCAACTTGGTTGTGGTGAGGAGTTACTGGGTGTCACACCTTCACTAATGATACCTGAGTTCAGGATCCAGAGGCCAGAAAAGACCTTTTGGGTAGGGTGTGTACTAGTATCACCAGGGGTTACTTGCTGTGACGAGCAATCCACTGTTCGGGCTGGAAGGTGAACCATCTGAGAGGAGGGACAGGGTGGGCCATGTGCCAAGCCACGGCTGAGTGAGGAGGGCCTAAAAAACCCTCTCCCTCCACACTCAGCTTGGCCCCGCCCCGCCTCCACTTAGGAAAGTCTGAAGCATGCTTGGAAAGCTGCTTTCTGTTTTTCTCTCTTCCTCCCCCTCTGCTGAGCTCCCAGCTGCTCGACCTCTTGCATAACTGAGAGCACTGAGGTTTGATGTACTCCAGATGTGGGGAAGGGTGGGGTGGCCTGTGAGGCGTGGGCCTGAGTCCCCTGAGTGCTCTAACTGTGGGAACTTAGGGCCTTGACAACAGGAACTGGGACACACTGCCCAGCCTTCAGCACGGGGTCCCTGGGCCGGGAGGACAGAGAAAAGCTGATGCTGTTTTAACTCCCTGCCTCAGCACCAGTTGCCTCTGTGGCAGGCGTGATGATTCCGAGATTCCTCCCCACCAAGACTGTCAAGAAGAGCTGGATACTGACTTACACGCAAAGCCTCTGAGGTTCCCACTCTGAGGTCCTCCCTGCAAATGCTGGGTCTTGGCACATAGGACACACAGTTTTGGTTTTTCTTTTTCTTTGACTAGAAGAGTCTGAAAATTACTATTGTGATCTGTCTCATATAAGGTGGCCAGGGTCAAAATACTCTCATGAAGCTCCAACATGAAGAGCATCCTAGGGGTGAGCTCTGGCCTCCTGTGTGGGGCCCCTGCTAAAGCTGGCCCTGCCAATAAGTGACTCGAGGTTCCTGCAGGTCAGCCTCCCCCTCTGCTCCTGGGTTAGGCAGAGAGGGCACAAACTAAAGCCCATCCCAAAAAAGACAAGTTACGTTCTGCTACCCGCCCAGCTGCCATTGCTGCCAGCCTTGGGTCTTTCTGCTCCCTCTGGCAGCGTGGGAGAGTCTCAGGGGTCCCTCTGGTGCTGCTAAAGGGGTTCAGTCCAGCTGAGTTCAGCTCCCCAGGGCCTCCCAGTCAGCCTCTTGGGGCAGGAGCTGGCCTCGCCAGGTAAGGATCCACTGTCAGTGTTGGGTTTCGGGGTGGGGGTTGAAGAATGACTTCAGGCTGTTTCTAGGCTACTCTTAGGTGCTTAGACCCCCCTTTTCTCCCTTATTTTCTCCCCTGCTCCTACAGAAACCCAAACTGCTCTAGGATAGCACGCGCAACTATTCTACAGCTTGTCTCCCGATTGTCCCAGGGAGGTTGGGGCGAGGGAGCAACATGAAGCTTGTGTTTACAGCCTGCGTGGCTCTCGCACATGAGAAACCGTGAAGCCTGATGCGCAGGGTTATCGACCCCACTTACAGCTCTTCACGGTGGGACTTGGAAGAGGGTGAGGATAAGGGGTGACAGGGTCCCCGCAGCAAATGTTCTGGAGAGGGTGCGGAGTACGCTGAAGGGCCGGGACCGGGAGGTTCCCTGGGAGCCCATGGAGATCCAGGCAGCTAAGGTTAAAACGGGAAAAGAGGGGACGCGGGGGAGAGAGAAACTGTCAAAAACACCCTCAGAAGAGCCTTGAAGCCTAGGGTTGGAGAGTGGTCAGAGGGGCGGGGAGGGGAGGGGAGAAGGGTGCGGGGTGGTGGAGAGCCCAGCTGCAGAAAGGAACAAAGCGGTCGCTGTGCAGGCGAGGGTGGGGGTGCTGCTATGGGAAAGGGGGGGTGGACCTTGGGCTCCGGACCCACAAGGGCGTCTTCTCCCGCTGGCCTAGCCGACCGGACGCGGGCCGGGGGCCGGGGGCGGGGACTAGCCGGAGGGGCGGGGCCGCTCCTTCTCCACCTACTCAGCGGGCTCCCGGGGAAAAGCAACAGCGTCCGGTCTGGGGCCGCGCGGCCTGGCCAGACCCGGGGCCGGCGCGCCCTCTCCTCGAGGTAAGGACACCCTCTCCCCCTACGCCCGCGGGTTCCGCGTGCTGCGCGGGCCCAGGCCTGGCGGAGCCCTCAGATAAGCTCTGGGCTGGGGGGCCCGGAAGAAGCCCACGGGGGGAGGCAGGGGAGTGCGTGGGGCGAAGGGGCTCTGTGGGGAGTGGCTCAGCCACTCTGCGAGTCGCGCGCTTCTGCCCCCGCCCGCGCCGCCGCCAGGGGGGAGCCCTAGCGCTCTGCCCCAGGAGGGGCGCTGGACCCACCCCGTCCAAGACGTGCCGCGGGCCCCCAGACAGGCCGACGACACTGCGGGTCCCTTCGGTCTGAGCCCCGCCGCCACCCCCGCTCTTGCCCACGGAAGACTGAGAGCCCTGCACCGGGAGGGGGCCCCCTGGGGCATCTCCGCTCCCATTCCGGTCGGGCCGCCCCGAGGGACCAGGAGGGGATGCGAGGCCGCTCGGAGGCTGGGGGTCCGGGAGGGACTCCTGGGTGGACTCAGGACACGGGGAGCGCGTCTGGGACCTCCCGGCGTCCCCCGAGGCCCCACGTTCTTTGGCGTCCCGGAGGCGGGACGGGGCACCGGGAGAGCCCCAGCGCC